TAATTTTTAATACAAAGTTTACACTCCAATTTCGTTTTCGCCCCTTAGTATTTTTAAACCGTAAAATTTCTCGGAATAGCCGGCACAGTCAAATTCATATCTTTTTTCGCATCCTGAACATAATAGTGTATTTTTCATATCAACATACTTTTTGCATTTAAAACAACATACTAGTGCTGACATCTTACGGCTGGTGTTAGCGGATTTTGTACTCGCTTTAGAAGCCATTCTGTTGTTATACTTTATTTTTCTAGTTAATTTCTTAATATTTTTGTAGATGGCGTAACTGAACTATGTACAATAAATCAAATGTTTTAGAATTTTTCTTTGTAGATATTTAGAATCGATTACAACTTGTGGTTCTCAATAAGATATACATAACATACATACATAAACACTCACGCCTGTCACCCAGAGGGGTAGGCAGAGACTACGGACTTCCATTTGGCACGATCCTGACATACCTCTTTCGCCTCCTTTACATCCATATATCTACGCATACATGCTCGTCGGTTAAGGGTACTTCTAACGTGGCCCATTTTCAAAATATCGCCAATTTGGTCGATAAACTTTTTTCTAGGGCGTCCATTCCCGACTCGGCCGTTCACATCTGCCATATAAATTTGCTTTGTCACTCTTTCCTCATTCATTGTTTCTACGTGACCAAACCACGAAGCATTCCTTTCTTAATCCTGGTCACAACACCATCTTGCATACCACATTTATCTCTTATCACGCAATTTCTCACCCTGTGATTCAAATTCAACCCTAGCATATTCCTTAAAGACCGCATTTCTACAGCATTTATTCTACTTTCGTGCTTCTTCTGCCACACCCAGCTTTCCACCATACATTAAAGTAGGTCGAACCAGCATTATGAATTACCATACGTGCCTGTTTTGACACATTCTGGTTCTTCATAATAGAGTGTAGTGCCCCATTCACTCTATTCTCTGCATTTACTCGTCGTCCTATATCCCTATCATATCTACCATCCCTGCTAAATACACATCCCAAATACACAAACTCATCCACTTGCTCAATTAACTCTCCTTCTATTCTTATTTCACATACCGTTTTGCTTTCTTCTCTTTCAAATACCATCACTTTCGTCTTACTTGCGTTCACTTTCATTCCCCTTTCTTTTAATTCCCAGTTCATTAATGTAACCATCATTTGCAACTCAGCCGCCGATGACGCAAATATGACTTGATCATCGGCATACAAAAGGCATTTAACGGTTAACTCGCCCATTCTTAACCCACATTCTTCATCTTTCAAAGTTTGCAAACACCGGTCCACAAATAGGTTGAACAGCCAAGGGGAAGCTACACAGCCCTGTCCGACACCTTTTTGGATGCCAAACCAGTCCGAGTAGACCCCATTGATCCTGACACAAGCACTAGAGTCCCTATAAAGAGACCTTAATGCCCGTATCAAACCAGCGCTCAACCCATATGAGTTCAGTCTTTGCCATAACACATTCCTGTCCACTCTGTCATAAGCCCTTTCCAAATCCATGAACGCACAAAAAATTTTCCGGTTTTTGGCCAAAAACTTCTCCGCAATCATGCGCATGGAAAAGACTTGATCTGTGCACCCCATTCCCTTTCTAAAACCCGCTTGCACATCCCAAATTTTTCCATCAGTTTCTTTCAATTAACACCTTAGCATACAGTTTACCCACAATACTAAGCAAGCTGATACCGCGGTAGTTTTTGCAGTCCTGCTGTGACCCTTTTCCCTTATATATTGGTACTATAACTGCTTTACACCAGTCATCCGGTACCCGTTTTAATTCCCAACATAAATTAAACAAGGTGTACAGCAGGCCTGCCACCACTCCCTCTCCAGCCCTTAGCATCTCGAGTGATACTCTATAATATCCAGCTGCCTTACCTGCTTTCATGCTTTTCATTGCTTTCATTATTTCACATCTACACTTATCTCCATACCCCTTTCCACTTCTTTCTTATTAAGAAATTTTATATTATTATTTTATAGAATTCTTAATTTCTAGTTCATTTAATTCAGACGACTCTTCACTCATAAACACGCTTTCAAAGTATTCCTTCCATCTGTTTAAATTCGAAACTTCATCATTCAGAATACATCCATTCTCGTCTCTTATAGCATTTATTATAGGCTGTTTTGTATTTCCCCTGGCAGTTCTTACGAGTTTCCAGAACATTTTTATGTTAGCCTGGAAATTATCAGATATCCTTCTTATCCGTTCTTTTTTTCTTTTTCCTTTCAACAACTTCTTTTACTCTCTTATTTAGATGTCTAAATTCTGCCTTTTTTCTTTCAATCTCATCATTAATACCAGAAGAATTACCAGCTTTGGTTGCTAGTAAATCTAACCATGCTTTCTTCTTTGATTCAACTTCCACCCGTACCTCATCATCCCACCATAACGTATTACTTTTCCTTTCATTTGTTCTCTTACTTACACCACATACTTCGGTGGCGGTATCCACCAAACCTTTCTTAATATTATCCCACACAGTATTCAAGTCTAAATCATTCATACACAACTCATTCAAACATCTAATATTTTCTCTCAGTCTACATTTATACTTCTCTATCACATCTTCATCTTGTAACTTCTCTATTCTTATACGCTGTAACGCAGTGGTAGACACAGATGTCCGATGGCGCCAACGCTTGAAAAGACCATTAATTCGACATAAGACCAAGTAATGATCCGTCCCTACGTTGGACCCCCGGTAAACCCTTGTATCTACGACTGCGCTCCTCATTCTTTCATCCACAATTACGAAATCTATCATGCTTCTATCGTCACCTCTTTCCCATGTATACATGTGAATCTTCTTATGACGAAAAAAAGTATTCGTTACAAAAAGATTCTTTTCCGCACATACGGTGAGGAGGTCTTCACCATTCTCATTTATACTTTCATCACCAAACGTTCCCAATATCCTTTCATAACCAGACCTCTTCACCCCAACCCTTCCATTAAAGTCTCCTAACATAATAATATTTTCATTTTCCTTACATTTTGTCAACACCATCCTTACCATGTCCCAAAACTGCTCTCGGATGTAAGTGGGCTTAGACATGTCTGGGGCGTACACCCCTAGCAGGAACAGCTTCTTTAAGCCCACTTTCATTCGTATCCATAGCAGTCTCGGGCTTACACATTCATACTCTTTCACACATTGACCCATTCTTTCTGAAAGGATGAAACCGACTCCCTGGCATGCCCGTTCGGTCTCGCCCACACCAGACCAATACGCGGTATACGTGCCATGTGCAGTGGCATCCTTTCCCTTTCGTTTCGTTTCAATAAGATATGTAGATGGATTTATATGTCATGACCTCAAGTATGGAGAGTAATGACATCTAGTAACGAGTCATTGATACTTGAACGTCAGCTGATCTTGTTTTTAGTGTAGATTGTCAAGTTTAAAAAGTAACGTCCACGATTAATAATATTTACTGAAATTACTGTCTAATTTTCACGCACCAAGCTTGATGAACATGGATTTCGGTCCTGTATACGTAATGATATAAAAAGAACTCAGTTTCTGTTTACAGCATGACACCGTGAATAGATAATTCACCACATAATTAAGTTCATCACAATAAATCGAATATAACTTTTTTGGCCCCTAATATTTTTTATAAATAACACAGACTGCACTTAGTCTGACACCGATCTTCTTATCTCAAATGATTTCATGCACTTATATGGGATTAACACATTATTAATTGATTAATTACTACGGAGTCGATGTTAACCGTGGCAACAGCGCCATCTGTAATGGTTACCCTGCCAGCATTACGCTGAGTCATAACCTTTTCACTGGCTGCATTTTTTTTGTGATGTGTACAGTTCCAATGAAAAGGTCTTTCTTTCAAAATCACTCCACCTTTAGAATGAAGTAGATGGCACTTATTACAAAGCAATTTTAATTAAAAGAAAGTAATCTTTTGATTTATTACACTAAAATTAAGTTTAAAAATAAGGATTGTATCATTTATTTGCTATAAACATGAAAATTTTATCATATATTTTATGCTGTACTTGTGGATGAAAATAATTATATTAAATAAATCATGTAAAATATTCATATTTTATATTTCATTTCATGAAGGTTTCACTTCTACTGCGTGTGAACTGCACACGTTTTTTTTTTATAGAATTAGGATGACAAACAAGCACACAGTCCACTTGATAGTATGTAGATGCTGTGACCCATAGACATATAAATTTATCTTCGATTAAGAATAAAAATGTAGATGTGTTGTAACCCTGGAGGACTAAGATGAAATGGTCGTGTCGGATTACCGGCCTATCGGCCTATCAGAGCGAAAGAATAGAAAATGCAACTGTGCTCACGCATACACTAATGCACTGTTCAGACTTTTTAATAATAAAACCGTTGTCACACTAAGATTTTCATTTGTATCTTAGAGCCAGTTTACATACATAAATTTCATTAGGACAAACATCCGGGCCTGGTACAATTATTTACAGGCGCTACAAACAGTCGTTCTGTGCGGGATTCGAACCCGTGGCCCTCAGCGCCATTACATTGGCTAAACCACGGAGACATCTAGATATCTCCAATCAAGAGAAATGTGTGACGATGATGTTAACGATAAAATATTGGTCAGGATGGTAAGCATATAAAGCATACAAGGGTTTTATGACTTAAGTACCAATATTATTTATGTAATTTTCAATTTGTCATTTGATATAGTACAGAGAAGTACAATAGAAAATATCTTCTGGCGACTTAGAGTCACAAAAGATAGGTTTAAATCGTTAATTAGTATTTAACTAGATTCAAATTTTAAACGTTAATATTAGGAGGTTCGGTGTGAAGGACATTAGTGAAGAGAGTAAGAGAGAAAAAAATTGATTATGGATGACTTTGAATTTTGTTTTTGTTTTGGTTGGCATGCTTGGTGTAATAAGTTTGACAGCTGTCAAAATGTATTTCTTAGATTTGGTTGACTGTAATTCGTACCTTGAAGAGCCGCTGCGTGATCTTGACGGCGTCCTGCAGGCCGAACAGGTCCGCGGCTCGTGCGTGCGCGCCGCCCCACTCCAGCGCCAGCACGGGCGCGCGCACGCACTCGCCGCCCGCCCCGCCCCCGCGCGCCCGCAGCAGCTCCAGCAGCGCCGGCAGCGCGTTGCCCGCGTGCTTCTCGTAGCGCAGCGCGTACAGCGCCACCAGCCGAGCAGCATCCCAATCACGCACGGACTCCTTGGCTATTAACGCCTTCAGCCGCTGTTGAGGAACGACGCGTTTAGCGCATACCTCTTCGTCTCGGAAATAAACATGAATATCCACTGCCCATTACCATCCCGTGGGTGTCGTAAGAGGCGACAGGTGGAAACTGAACCAAGAGATTGGCAGCAGCACCTTTCTGATAACCACCGTATAAAAAAATTTAAAACCGCATTCACCAACCTGCTTGTCAAGCAACTATGGAAATATATTTTTTACAGAACAATGGTGACAAAGGAACACACTCTCCACCAGATGGTAAATGGATGATGTCGCCCATAGACATCTACATTTATCCTTGACTAACATTCAAAATGCAGATGAGTTGCCATCCCCAAGGATTATAATTGAATGCCTCGTTCCCAGTAAAAAGTTTCTCCAGCTCTCCACACTCAAAATCAAGAAGACAACATTGCATTATACTAGCATTGACGATTTAAACATGTACCACGTAAATATCTACCCCCCCTTCCCCCCTAATAAAGCAATATATAGGGGAGATCTATGATGAAGATTGTCAAATGGTAATAAAGTTTAGCACAGAAACATAACATGAAAGTGTTCTGAGGTGGTTATGACAAAGGGAGATTTATAACTGATAATATAGCTATGACCTTGCCTACGAACTGTGAAACATCTGTCATTGAATATAGTGTCGTTTACACACACAGACTTATCCCTACGTTTACGAAGCTAGAACACTAGATGGCGTGTATGTAAAAAAACAAGTTTTTAATTTTTCTGTATGTGTAGATTGGGTAGGCAGAACTACAAAACGCTATGTACGATTGTTGTAAAAATAAAAGTTATATTTGCTGGCGTAAACTATTTAATTGATTTATAACTTTGGAAAATAAATTATGTCAACATTGATTACAATATAACGCAGTTTTATTTTATTACATTACACTATTGAATTTTTTTATCAAAACAGAAGTACCTATTTAAAGTAAAGTTACAGCCTATATACGTCCCACTGCTGGGCACAGGCCTCCTCTCATTTCTGAGAGGGTTTTAGGGCAAGGAATAGTCCGCCGCGCTGCCCCAATGCGTGTTGGCGAACTTCACATGTCTTCGAAATATTTTTTTTCTTATTTCTCAGACATGCAGGTTTCCTCACGATGTTTTCCTTCACCGCCGAGCACGTGGTAAATCAGCACTTTGCAATTTGCAAAATTGCAATTAACAATTTCATTGGTGCCGGCGGGGATCGGACCCGGTTTGCTCGCGTATAGTGAAATTTACAGCGAGCACTAACCATCTGAGCTAACACGGCTCTACCCTATTTGAAGCAACATAATTATGCTGATACATACCTATTAACTTTTGTAATAGTACCAATTATTATAATAATTAGACATTTCATAACCAACACGTAAAAAGCTAGTTATGCAACCACAAGAACTAAAATCTAGAGAACATTAAAATGTATAAAAATTTACTTATTTTTTTATTTCGATGTTATCTTTATATTCCTGATAGAATTGGCCGACAAATAAGAAAAATATAACTCAAATTAGAATAAGCTATTTATTTATAAACAATAAAGCACGGAACAGAAAAAAAGACTTTATGTAACTGAATTATATTTGTTTCTGAACGCACCGTAAGGTATGACGTAGTGATGAGTGAACTTGAGCTCTACCAAATATAATAAACTAATAATGTGTGTCTGTCTGAAACTGTTTGCAAAATGCGTAAAAAGTGTTTAATGTAACACGGCAAAACCATATTTAGTAAATGTTTGCAAGTTTAATTTTGTGAGTTTTACTTAGGTAGTTTACCGATTTATAATAATTGTATTTATTGTTGACCAAAAACATATTCAAACACATTCATATATGAAACACTGACACGTATGACGTAGATAATACCACCGAAAACATAATTGCGTTTTTGGAATCTAAGTGTCCACGATAAATTACAATATAGTCTCAAATATATACTAGAGAAATATTGCAATTCGAATCAATGAAAACATGCATACAAAATATGTATAATACACAAGAAATTCCGCGCGCAAATCATAGCGCGTGACAACCGTAATAAGAATGTATTTTATAACGATTTTATAACAAGTCAAACAAGTGAACGAAGTTTGGCAACGCTTTTGTTTCGTCAATCAAGGTCAGGAATACGTTAGTACTCTTATCAGTTTGTTGTCAGGAAGGACGGCATCATCGCTCTACCTACGACTTTCGGTATTTATGTTGCCACACAACAATAATAAGTAATAAAATTGTTTAAAAAAACATAGGTGTCTAAGGTCATTAGTTTTATGTTATTTTATACTGTTTTTTTTAACGGTTGGAAAGGAAATTAACCAATTATTGAACTTAAGATATTGATTTATCAGAATTATTTAAGATCACTTGCATGCCATCTAGCGTGCCAATGTTTAAACGTAGTCTTTCGTTCGCTTGCCAAAAGTCACGCACACTACTAAAGAAGTGTCAAATCTTTCTGGGATTTCACTATTCTTTTTCTCAGTATATAATGTAAGTTATTGCGTATAAAGGTAAAGCGCGTACACATTTCATTGAAGAGAAGTGATAAAATGATTAGTTTTAAAGAAAGAGTGTCTTGTGTTTAGTGTATATTTTGATTAAAAAATGTATGGACAGACGGCCGGCGCTTCCACCTTAATACTGCTACCCATAATTGCTTCGGGTGAAGTTTGAGTCACCAATAGGCTGACAGAGCCTCGTTCATCAATATACTGATTTAACTGGAATACTTTGTGCGGGTGAATTATATTATTAGCTTTGAGAGAAGTTTATCAATCTCTATAGAAATCTATTGCTGTGCGTTCGTCTCGCAAATTGTCGAAACTGAATCTACCGATCTGGACGATTTTTTTTGTGTGTTTGAGTGAGTTCCTGGATGGTTTGGATTCACTAATGGACTCGTTAGGCGACACTGTTTTCGAGATTCCAGAAATAATTCGTGCGAAACCGGGCCGGATCGCTAATCTTAGATATATCAATCTTGAATAAGTAATGATAATCTTAATATCAATGAAAGCAGGTTACTCTGGGCCATGCCTTGTGACATTCCTTGGGGAAGACCTATGTTCAACAATGAACTTGTATGTAGGGCTTAGTATTCGAATATTCGTTTTATTCGAATATTCACCTCATATACTATTCGAATAATATGTAGATTAATATTCGAATATTTCGAATTTTTCGAATACTACAAATAACATAGAGATAAATAGAATTTAATAATAAAAATATTTCAGAACATGACCGGAATAAATTTTTTATTGATTAGTAATAATTAAATTTAATTATTACTACCGGCCACATTAGTAACTCTCCGCAACAAAGTCTACAGAATTCATTCTCTGCAAACGTGCGCGTAAGTGTTGGCATTTTGAGGTTACGACGATTTATGTATAAATTGAAAAACGTGAACTTATAGTTCGTTAAATTTATGAAATTATAATAAGTGAATTATAATCTTACAGGTAAGTATTTATTTTTTGTAATTCACCATAGTATAAACTATTCCATATACTATTCACCCAAAACCGTTTGTTACCTATAATGAGTAAAACAAAATGTATGGCCTCCAGCGCTGTGAATGACATGTAGGTAGCTAACCCTAACAGTGCTTGCTGTATTTTATTAATAAACAACATTTATGATAAGTTGACTTATCAGTCTTGTTTATATTAAATCGTTATTGGTATTGATTTGAATAAAGGGTGGAGAACAATGGGCAAAAAAACTACGAAGGGTGTTATGTCATTTGATGTCCTTAGCGTATAATTTTGAGTTTTGTTTTTTATAGGTATTTATGTTAACGTTTAAATATTTTTAACATTATTTTTATTGGTGCCATGCAGTCACAAAAATCTGTTTGTTGTGTTTTAGTCATGTCTGATTTAATATTTTATTGCAGACTACAGCTATATAGTTGCATACAGTAACAATTGTGACTGCTTTGCTAGATATTTCCTGTAGTAAATTTAGTGAGAGTGGTGTTGGGTATGCATTATATAAAGAAATTTTTTTTTCACAGAAAAATGGAAAAAATTGAGTTTATGGAGTATACGAGATTTTCACAAGATAGGTTTTCTGTGTAGTATTATTTTTTGAGATCAAATGATGGATTAAATGCAAAATGCAAAACTTGTAAAAAGATATTAAAATCTTCGGGCACAACCACAACTCTTCACAACCATTTGAAATTGGTTCATTCTATTCAGCTAAATAAGAAAAAAAGTCAAACTAATAATGCAATATCAGTTCTTTGTAATAATGACGTTGCTCCGTGCGCCAGTAAAGACGCAGTTCAGACAGCTGAGCTTGTTAAAAAAAGTCTAAAATAGATGACTATTTTGTAAATGAGGATGACTTGCCCATCATGGTATCAAAATTGAAGGCTTTGGATGTCTGTCGTTTAAAGTTATTTCTTCTTCCGAAATCATACGGAAGTTATTTAAGAAAAGTGGATACAATAATCTACCTCATTCCGCAAATAGTGTTTAGAATTTAGTAATACAAAGAGGCATTCAAATAAAATACCATCTTAGAAAACAATTGCAGGATTTAAAAAGACAAGGCAATAAATTATCAGTCCCTTGATGAATGGACTTCTATTCGTAATCGCAGGTACATGAATGTAAATATTCACTCACCTTTGTTACAAGATAAAGGATTTCGAAACTTAGGGCTAGCCAGAATTGACGGTCGGGGAACAGCTGAAAATTGTTACAACACATTGGGGAAAAAATTAGTGGATTTCGAAATTTCCTTAGAGGAAGACGTAGCATGTATTATTACAGATGGAGCAAGCGTCATGAGTGCTTTAGGGCGTAGAATAGAAGCATATCATCAGCTTTGTATTGCTCATGGGATTCAATGTGGCGTGTTGTGGATGTTATGTATAAAAAGGAAATTGAAGAAGTCCATGGTGATAGAGATGATTATGAAAAACAGAGTCATGATAGCAACAGCGAAACAGAGTATGAAGATGATGAAGATAGTGGATTAGTCATACATGACAGAAATTCGCTAAATAATGAAATTCCAATTGTTAAATACAAAGATTTGATAGCGAAAGTTAGGCAAACTGTCACATTTTTCAAAAAATCCCCTACCTGGACAGACCTTCTCAATACTTATCTTTCACAAAATCGCCAAAAGAAACAATTAATTTTGGACTGTAAAACCAGATGGAGCAGCATGGCTGATATGGTTACGAGATTTTTGGAACTCAAAGATGAAGTTATGAAGGCATTGATTGACTTAAAAAAAGATATCACTTTTTCAGTCGTAGAAATCCAAATATTGGAAGATCTTTCCAACTCGCTGAACATAATAAAGGCAACAGTTGAAGCACTTTGGGAACATAAGGCAAATCTATTAACATGTGAAACAGCCCTAAAGTTTATGATAACGTAGCTTACGGAAAGAAATAGCACAATAAGCCGTGAACTAGCTGAATCAATGAAAACTCGCATATCACAAAGAAGATCTATAGAACTAACAGGGACTTTAAAATATCTGCACAACCACTTAAAATTTCATTACGAACGCCTTCTGATGCATTTCCTAATCCCTCACATGAGATGATGGTTGAAACAATAACCTACATCAATAAAAAATATTTTAACACAGTGACCAGCAACATTATTTTCGATGAAGATGATGAAGTCACACTTTCTGATTTACAACAGCGGGAAAGAATGCTTCAAAATTCTCTTGCTGACAAAAGTATCCAAGAGCAGCTGCGAAATTAAATTCATGATATTATTGATTAATAAGACGACTTCATCCCCCTCATCTACATTTAGGTCTAACGAAGACTTAGAAATTGCAATACGTGTAGAGATGGCGCCTTATGAGGCTGGAGGCTTAAAAAATGTACATTTAATGAGGGCATATAATTTTTTGTTAACGATTCCTCCAACAAGTGTAGAATCTGAAAGAGTGTTTTCGTCATGTAGGATGACATGCAGCTACCTTCGTAGTGCCTTAAATGACGACACTCTAGACTGCCTTTCATTTCTTAGGTCATATTATCAAAGCAAGAAGTATTAATTAATCACTTTTGACTTTACTTTTCATTTGTTAAATATTTCTTACCTTTTATTCATAAGTACATAGGTATATCGCAGTCAATTTTTTAATTCTTAATTTTGTAAAGACTAATTTTTTGGTTCGGTACAAGAAGTCGATTTTATTGTAATTTTAAAATGTTAACTTTATGTGTATGAATAATAAAAGAAGAATTTATTTTATTTAATTTATGTCTCGTAGAAGAAAATTTGTAGAAGTTGATTAAATAGGTTTTTCTCCTAAATTTAAGATATAAGAGACACATATTCGTTATTACCTTTGTTGAGTCTGATAGATAGTGATTTATGCTAATAAATATTTAAAAACAATGTTGTTCGTCTAATTTTTCTTTGAAACTCTACCTAAGTGTTAATGTGCTATAAAATATCCACGAAGTATATGCTATATGTAAGTTAAATGACATGTTGTTCCTTGAGTAGAAAATATTCGAAAAATTCGTAATATTCGAATAATTCGAATAGTATGTCGCGAACTATTCGAAATATTCGAATAGTAAAATTGAACGAATAATGCAAGCCCTACTTGTATGATCTGTAATGATGATGATTATGTCAGTCTTAGATTAAAAAAAATAATTCATTCTACATTGTATTCAGAAATTTTCACCTGTAAATGTTTCGCGTGGTCGCTCTGGCAGGCGATCTCCTGCTCCAGCTCAGACACTTCCAGCAGGTTGTGTCGCGCCACACAGGCCGACAATTCTCCCACCACTGTCACGTGTTTCGTCACCGTCCCCGACATTTTCTGTAACAAATGGAAGGGAACTATGAATTTTAATGAAATTGGAACATTTAAAGCAAAATTTATTATTTTATTCTTAAAAATGTAACCTTCAAATATTACAACATAACACAGAAGTTAGTTTTTGTTTTATTTAAATACCAGCGCATACATTCTTTGCGGGAGGCAAATGATGATGATGAAATACTAGCATTGGGGGGCGGAGGGGTATTAATGTGGTGTCATTTAAATTTAAGACAATCGTCAAAGACCATCGATATTTAGATTTCAGAATCGCTTCAGCCATTACAAAGATAAGACTGGACAGACTGGACAGAAAGATAAATTAAAAAAAATGGTTATTCATGTCCTAATAGCATGCAAGTAATCATCAGCTCAGCTCAATGAAAGCAAGATATTCAAATACTGCAGACAGACAGTACAATTTTATTTATATGCTTATAAATGTATGTGTAGGAAGGTAATTAAATAGAATTAATTTACAATCACAAAATACACAAGTCACAGGTAATCAACTATAAATTGTACTGAGACTAATTTAATAGCTGATAATAATAATTAATTCGTTTCCACGCATTAATTATCGAATAGTCTAGGATGAGCTAGTGTATAGTGTATACTACAAGTGAACCGTGCCACGCCGAGCCAAGACTGCCTTAAGAGCGGCCGCTCCGTCCGTTTTATACAATCGAGACAAGTAGCTACCAGAGCGCCACTGCAGGTGCAATGCGCAGATGTGCGCTGCACGTGTTGTTTACAATAATTCCGACTACCCACAGAGGCGCTGCGACATATGGATTGGTACATCTATAAAATTTTAATTAAATATGACTTAACTGAATGACTTTACGAGTGACACCATTATGTCTATCGCTTGCAGGTGGTTATGCATTCAGTACATTCCAAACATATTTAAATAGATATGAAATATGTCTTATAATAACAGTTAAAACATAGATCACTATAGTTAGGTCCTTTGTTTTACCATGATGAAGCAGTAATATCAAAATATATTATTATTATATGCTTGCTTATGCACAAAAGTGAAATAGTACCTTGAACAATGGATACGTCTCCACGAAGTTCTTCATGTCGGCGATGCTCTCAACCTTCTGGTGGCTTTTGGCCTTCCTCTGGAACTCTTCCATCAAAGATTTGATAGTCTGACCAATCTCGCCGAAGTTTGAGTAAAGATTCTGTTCAGTAAGTGGTTAATGGGCGTATTTTTTTATTTATATGTCAAAGTACATATTAATTTTAAACACATCAAAACATTTTGATGTAATTAATTATATATAGGCAAATTTGCCGACTTGGAGCAATAATTTGTAGCATATATAAACACTTGTACCACGCGGGATTCGAACCCACAATGCCGCATCTCCGTAACCATAGACTTCGTTACTGCGATACCAGGCCGTCAAAAGGATAGGTATTTATAACAATGAGTGAATATTTTGTTCAATTTCAGTTTGGGTGCTCAGTTGGCTTGATAATAAAGTAGCATGAGCAAATATCGATTAAAGATCAATGTGAAGCCAAAAATGAGAATAGGGGTTGTCAAGCCTTATCCCACACTTTAAAATAATGTGTAAAGGTCACCAAGCTCAAATGTCACAGTAAGTAAGTTGTAACAGGGTATTTTACACCATGTAAAAGAAAACCAAAAAATATATATTTATGATCGATTTTGTAAAAAGTACCTAAACGAGAAATATTGATTTCTGTTTATAAAATTGCATTATAAATTTTATATTTCAATTTTAAGAATTTTTTTTCTAATCAAATCAAATCTGCAAAACGCTGTCCGCCATATTAGATATGTCGTGACGTCACCGATCCAGCCTAAGGATATTAGTGTTCTGTGTCACTGATTAACAGAACTAGCTAACGTGCTGTGTTATTTCGAAAATTTTCAAGTTATCATTACGATTATTGAGTTTTATACTGAATTTTACTGAAAAGGCATCATGGAAGACGAATTCGTAAAAGCATAAAATACTAGTCTACCAAGGATAAATAATTTGATGGTGGCAAAAATATTTTCATGCAATCCCAATTTTTGTTCTGCTGAGTAGAGGAATATTAAAACATCAATGTAAGTATCTATAACCAACTTTTGTTTATACAAAAACCATTGATTTATATATTGTACTAGATCAGTAATAACCTCACAAAGCGTTCCCACTGCACATATGGCCACAGCCATATGCCTAGCTAACGTCAGTTCAGTGTTCAATGTGACGCCGACAGAGTTGAGCCGCGACAAAAAAAGGGTAAATGCGTAGTGAAAGAATGCTATTCAAGGTCACAAAAACGTAATAAATCAAGCGGAACCACTTTCAACAAATAATTTTTAGTTCTTGTTTTCATATAAACGTAAAAAATCTCAAATAATTAAATAAAATTATCGAATATTGCCATTTAGCTTCAATGTTGCCACTTTTCCGCATTTGTGATTATCCTACATTAATGGGAGACTACATAATTAATGGAGTTAGTTAATTTGTTACCTCTGATTTTAAATATTTTGGAAATTATAATAAAAACTACGTTTTAACTTTCATACAAAATAATTAATTATTCTTATTTTAGTTTATTAATGAATTATCTATTAAATATATTTTATTGCCTATTTTATATTGTTTGATTTATTAGTACAATAAAAATACTTATAAAAATATGTTTTATTTCATCATTGTGTTTACTTCTATTCATCTGATAAGCTTTGTATCCTTTTTTTCTAAGGGGACGCAATAAAGATTTTAAAATAAAATATACTTTTTTAATATAAAAACAATTAACATTAATTTTTAAAAAATTAAAATTAACTGCAGCTTAAAAAAACACATTTTTATTGCGTATTTTAGGTAAAATTTTATATAGTAAGCAACACCAACCCTCTCCATTGCATTTTTGTGTGTCTATCTTTATCTAATCTTAGCGACGATATTGTTTTCGCAACTTGTGTAAGTGAGATAGATATATGTTTAGTTAAAATTGTTATTAGTTTCAAAGCTACGTCGTCGCGTTTGGATAGTGGTTACACTTTTTTCGACGCGCGGTAATGTGGTTCGCTGCTCTAGTGTTGTATAACTCAATGACAAAAAAACAATACCAGGTGTGAGTGTATTTTGATAAAACATAGTTTAGTAGCTATCATAGTTAAGTTTATCTATAATTACAATCATTAGTAATCATTAGTTATAATATCTAAAATAATAGGTATCGTAATTTATTACAAAATTTGACTTAAGTACGATACCCTTCACCTCATGATGTTTTGTTTTGTATTAAACGATAGTTACATATAAGTCATACTTACATAAAATGATCTTCACAGAAGAATAGTCTGGTTTTTGTAGACATTGTATTCGGGTATCTTCTTGCCAGTTTTAACCAAGTAGTTCTTATATTTAAATACATGGCACTTGAATCCATAACTTTCCCGCCGTTCTTATGCTCGTATTTTTGCATTCAGGCACAACACAATAATGATATAGATGATAACTCATTATCAAACGTTGAAAAGTTTCTTATATTTACAGTGACGTCACGAGTTGAACAGCATGGCGGCTAGCGTTTTCATGCGATAATTTAAAACGATAGATTAAAAGTAATTTTTATGGCACAATTCAGTTTAAATATATATATATATATATATATATATATATATATATATAAAAATATATATATAAATTATGTGTTCAGTGGTTCAGTTCAATTTAGTGGTTCATCACTCTAGGATTCACTTAAAACAATTTTTGAAAATGGGTGTAATACCGATTTATTGTATTTTATTTCCTATTTTTCTTAAATAATAAATGTATTCTTGTGTCAATATAAATATAAAAACTCAGCTACATTTTGAGGATTTTAATTTTTGTGCTTATCTAATTAGCATTATTATAATACATACATAATTAGTACTCTATTTTAACAAGCTAGGACGCCGAGACAAAATACTAAATAAATGCACCACAAACTAAAAAAGGTTGGAAACGCCTGACCTTGAATATTAAACTAATCAATTCATGACAGCACTATCACAATTGAAGACTAGTAGGTTCCATGTCTAAATACCAAGTTGTTAATAATTAAATAACAAGTATAGGCAATTGGAACAAGTATAGATTTTTACTTTAATTACCTTAGCATAGAACTCATCCTGCTCAGAAGACAGTACAACTTCCTTGAAGTCTTTGTGCACGTCAGGCAAGTGGGCCAGGCTTACCCGGTTGTTATTGATGGTCAAAAGTTCATGCACCATTGCTTGATATGTCCACTGGAATATTATACATAACCATCTTAACAACAGATATCTTTAAATCTCCTTTTTATCAACCCAAGGACTAAGGTGGAATGCACTGTTACAAAGAAAAAGTATCTAGTTCTCATCATATAGTGATCACCAAATAAAACATGGATGCATTTTGATTCTTAATCGAGGTTAAATTTAGATGTCTATGGGCCACAGTATCCACTTACCATCTGTCAGGTGGACTGGGTGCTCGTTAGCAATATAACTATTATCAGCAAAAAATTTACAATTGGCGGGAAGCGAGTGTATTAGATGTTGACCTCAATTATACTGGAAACCACAACAAATCTGGGGGTGGCCTACGATATAAAAATAACAATATGGGCGTTATCTTTAATAAATATAAATTAATCTCCATTTAGTCAATTTACAATTAACATCATGGTTTTTAATTAAACAAAAATTATTCAATATAGGTTATCATACTATTAAAGAGTATATGATTGATAACGTAGAGGCTACATCACCTGAGGATGCCTCGTGTAGAGGCGAAACACGTGTCGTATTGTCGTCGATGGTGTGTCTTACCTGGAATAGTGGTGTTGGAAGTAGTCGTGCCGGGAGTAGTGGTGTTGGGAGTAGTCGTGACGGAATTAGTGCATGCAATTGAGGGAGGGCGGGAGGTGTTCTTCAATCCCGGTAAGATACATCATTGTATTTAGTTAGCGGAAGGTTGCAAAGTAATTTTTTTTATTATATGATTGATAATTACCCCTAGGAATTGCTACCATGGCATTTCTAAATATTTTCGTATTTAATTGTACAAAGTTTTGTATTTAAAAACAAAAAGCCCGCTGGGTTTCTTGCTGGTTCTTCAGGACAGAGGTTTTTTTTAACCAGTGATAAAAGCATAATTGATTCAACAAGTATACTTGAAATCTATATATAGAATAAAAATTATTCCATTCTATTCTATACAAATAAATTTATTTATAAATTTTTGATAAATTTTAGTTGATGAAAAGTTAAGTTAAAGCTACAGTCTATATACGTACGGCACAAGCCTCCGCTCATTTCTGAGAGGGTTTTAGAGCAAGGAATTGTCCGCCGCGCTGCCCCAATGCGTGTTGGCGAACTTAACATGTCTTCGAAATATTTTCTTATTTCTAAAGACATGCAGGTTTGCTCATGATGTTTTCCTTCTCTGCAGAGCACGTGGTAATTTTTTAGTTGATGGTTATAAAGGAATTGAAAAGTTGCATCAAGAAAATAAAAATCTTCCAGATTTACGGTTAATTAAATTTGAATAGTCACTGTATGCCGTGTGGTGTCGTAAGAGGCGACCTTGATGACGAAATAAACCAAAAGATCTTATTCCTTCTGATAGATAGCAGTAAAACCATTTCATTACCACCAGGCGTTAAATATCCAGATTGGCTACAGGTCAAATGAACGAAACGTCTGCCCCTCCGTTCGTCAATCCAGACACCGAGTATAACGATTAAGGCAAATCTTACAACAGGACAGGTCCTTGCCTAGCTGTGGACTCTATAGACTGATAAAGACGAAGGATCTTGATCACCTTAGTAACATAACATAAACACTCACGCCCGTCACCCAGAGGGGTAGGCAGAGACTACGGACTTCCATTTGGCACTATCCCTGACATGCCTCTTTCGCCTCATTTACATCTATATATATCTACGCATACATGGCCGTCGGTAAGGGTACTTCTAATGTGGCCCATTTTCAAAATATCGCCAATTTGGTTTATAAACTTTCTTCTAGGGTGTCCCTTCCCGACTCTGCCGTTCACATCTGCCATATAAAATTGCTTTGTCACTCTTTCCTTATTCATTCTTTCTACATGACCAAACCACCGAAGCATTCCTTTCTTAATCCTGGTCACAACATCATCTTGCATACCACATTTATCTCTTATCACGCAATTTCTCACATTGTCATTTAGATTTAACCCTAGCATACCTTAGTGTAAATTATTATTTTAATTACTAAGAACTGAAATAAATAAGCTTACTGAAAGTAATATACTCGTAACATATAAGGTAAGATTTATAAGTATAAAACAAAAACCCACTGGATTTTTAAAAAACCATGTTATCCACACAGTAGGATTTTTACCTGTGTCGTGGAGACACTTAAAATAAATAAATTTTACAAGGACAATAAACAATACTTATTGAAAGTCACTTTTTTATTTAAAAAACCTCTGTCCTGGGAATATGTTCTTAATATTATAGTAATTCTTTCTATACAAACTTCTGGGATTTTGTGGTAAAAGCATTATATACATTGCCCCAAGAATGAATTACTGACTTGTTGGAGTCGAGTAACTGGTATTACTAGCTGGTGTCTGTTCCTAGTATTTACAGAATGAATATCACTTATTCTTGTAAAACTACTTTTGTTTTTGTGTATGTAGATTACATTTTTGTCTGAGGGACTCTTTAAATTTTAAATCATAGAGTACTCTAATGGCCCTCTTCTGTAAAACAAATATAATTTCAGAGTCAGTCTCCCCATAGCAAAATACCATCTCATCATCATCATCATCATCACAGCCCTTCACAAGTCCACTGCTGAACATAGGCCTCCCCCAAGTAATGCTACAAAGCACGGTCCTGAGCCACCTGCATCCATCGACTTCCTGCATATCTTACCAGGTCGTCACTCCATCTAGTGGGGGGTCGCCCTACACTACGCCTACCGGTACGAGGCTGCCACTCGAAAACCTTTCTTCCCCATCGGTTATCGGTTCTTCGAGCTATATGGCCGGCCCATTGCCACTTCAGCTTACTAATCCGTTGTGCTATGTCGGTCACTCTGGTTTTACTGCGGATATCCTCATTTCTGAGTCTATCACGCAGAGAAACTCCGAGCATAGTCCTCTCCATAGCTCGCTGAGCGACCTTGAGCGTCCTCATACGGCCAGCAGTGAAGGACCACGTCTCTGATCCGTAAGTCATCACTGGCAACACGCACTGGTTGTACACTTTAGTTTTCAGAGATTGAGGTATACCTGACGAGAAGATGTGTCGTAATTTCCCGAACGCTGCCCAGCCGAGTTGAATCCGTCGATTGACCTCTCGGTCGAAGTTGGACTTACCTAGTCGGACTATTTGTCCCAGGTAAACGTACTCGTCAACAACTTCGAGCATAGTGCTCCCAACAACTACCGGCATAGGTGTGACATGGACATTAAACATGATCTTTGTTTTGTCCATGTTCATCTTAAGACCTATTCGTTGGGAGGCACTATTGAGGTCATTGAGCATAGTGCTTAAGTCCTCCAGCGATTCTGCCATAAGGACTATATCGTCGGCAAATCGAAGGTGAGTGATGTACTCGCCATTGATGTTAATACCGTATCCTTTCCAGTCCAGTAGCTTGAAAACGTCTTCCAAAGCAGCGGTGAAGAGTTTCGGGGATATAACGTCACCCTGTCTTACACCTCTCTGCAGTTGGATAGGTTTCGAGCTCTGGTTCTGTACTCGGATAGCCATCGTAGCCCTACCATATGACAATAGCTAAATAGCTTATTCATGCCCACACGCAAAGTACGCGCTTAGACGTGGAGTTGCGGAAAACAGACCGTCGTAAACTAAACTAAACCTAGCTAAATAGCTGTTTCAACACTTGTAAGACTTCTAAGATCCAGACCGGGAACAATTGTTTATAATAACATTACAGATTGGCGGCTCCACGAAGCCGTCAATTTATAATGCTATTATACGTATCAAAACAGATAATTCTTATTATGAAATTGTATTTAATGTTTTGTTATGCTCCATGTTATTTCAAGGGGAAAATGTGAAGTAAGCATGACGTCAACCCTTTGTAATCCTTTTTATTACAATGTACATAATTTTTCTATTTCAGCCTTCAAAAGTCCACTGCTGAACATCCCCCTCATAGATTTCCTCATGGGAAGGTTTTGCCAGTTGTCACGCTTGGCAAGCGGGTTGGCAACCACAGCTTTTTATTATTCTGAGTTGTCATCAGGAAGATGGTGCCCATATCCTGTTTAACGTTTCCTCTATAAAGATTCTGTTTCATTTTATCAAATTCGATAGATAAATAGTCTTACTTGATTAAGTAACGGTGTCACTGGATCATCCCTCCTATCGATAATAAGCAATTGGGGTGGAGGTACATCCCCATTGAAGGGTATGTTATTGTCGATGAGTACAGTCTCCCGCCGCAACAGATCACGGACTCGCTCGGCCAAGCGGGCGCATGGCTCCGACGATGCCTCATAGCGGACTATTGCACGCTTCTTGAGTGACAGGAGGAGGGCCAGCAGGCCTTGGGACACCCGTTGTAAATGTTGCTGATTCCAGGAGCGACCTGAACCAAAAATCTGTGCTGAATCTAAGTTAGAAAGTTGAAGTTGTTCCTTTGATGAAGGTGAAAGTGCAATTAAAAGGACAAAAAGTTTTTGAAGACTTGGGAGATATTTGATTACCCAATACACTACACTTTGTTTCAGTCTATATCAATATTTCTACTATCTTACATTTGTACTTTAAAAATATATTACAAGTATTACAAAATTAATATTCGATTTAATATTTGTTTTTAGGATTCTGTAGTTACACAACAAGGAACCCTCATAGTATCGCCATGTTAGAGCCGTACATCCATCCGCGGTTACACTCGGAGACCCTAGGTGCCACAAATCTGTAATTTGACATAGTTATAGATATTAATCACGCCTACAAAACTGTGAAATAAAATCTTAAAAAACATTCTTATTTTGGGTACCTACCATACAGGTAAATAGAGGATATTTTTTTACCCATCTATTCCATCGTGTGGGGTATTGTTAGATACTTCTTTCAAAAATATTGGAGGTATGAAAGAACATCTTTTCGATTTTGGGGTTCCTTTTTGAAATATTTAAAGTCGTATTTTTCATTAATCATGTGTCTCCCACCCCCCACCCCCCTCTACCAAATAAACCACTATTTTTGGAAACGTGAAAAATATACTGAATACTGAGTAGTATAAATGAAACTAACAAAATGAAGTTAAAAGGAAAACTATCACAGCTAAGTAGAACTAACAAGTTAACGAGTAATAACCAACCAACTTATAAAATGCACTTGGATTAGTAAAAATTTCATTACAACTTCATAGAAAATGACATAAAACTAGCTCTATTATAACTTTGTAATGTTTATGGTGAATAGTAAGAAAAACATTTTATGAAGAAAACGACTTATGTACATTACTAATAAAGGTGATCCTCAGGTAATCCTTCGGGTAGTAGTAGTTTACGGGAAGGTGCGGTAAGTCGTCATCAAATATTATATCTTAGGTTTGCACTGTCGGGAATATATAGATAGATAGTCAACTATAACCATCGTTGTATGGATTTGGCATGTGATCGATTTTATGTAAATAGTATTATTTTCAAAATCAAACACCGTTTTTTAAACTTTTTTGAATAATATAATAATAAATAAGTCTGATTTGAAAATAAGAATAAAACATTTCTGGGCGAACTCATTACTTATGCTCATTATCAAGAAAGCCCACATATTGAGATGAGCCACTACGGAAACACAATTGATCAGTATTGTTTTATTACTATAAAAAATATTCCGCTTCTCTTCAACTTGTTATTTATTGTTCATATACTATACTCTTTTTTGATAACATCTTTGTATATTATCATAGTAAATAAATTTAAAAAGAAAACAAGGCTCCTTGTTATAAAATTGAAGTAACAAAGGAATGACAGTCAACCTGATAGCAAGTGGCTATAGTAGCCCGCAGACACAAGTAACCAAAATAAAACTAAGATGGCTACCGATGCATTGACAATTTTAAAGACTAAGGTGGAAGTCTCACAAGCTGTAATTGTAGTGGCTCTATATCCCCACTAGAGCGAACCAAGTAGTGCATGCACTGCTCTTTGGCGGCAGAAGTAGAGTATACATACCCAGACTGTCACCAAGGCAGAAAAGGAGTCTATTTCTACAGTATTAGACAAGTTCTCTAAGGAATGTGTGTAACTTTGTATGTTAGTACATTCAAATGCAAGTGAAAGTTTGAGTCTCTTATTTTATTTATAACTATACAAAACATATTTCTAAAAATATCGCCCGTGAGAAAGTATTCCACAGAGAAGTTGTGCGAAGAAGAAAACTCCTAATAAATTGCACAATGGTAGACCACAAAGTTTATACAAATTTAATTTAATACTTGTTACATTTTTACGTGGTAGAGCCATGCTGCAGTTATATTAATGTAGCACGAATGGGTCGGCTCGACCGGGGAAGGACCACGCTCTCACAGAATACCAGCGTGAAATAGTAGCTTAATGCTGCTGTATTTCGTATGGTGAGTGTAGAGAACCGGATACCCTTTTTACTGGAAACGAGGCATTCCATCTCAGTCCTCACGGGTGACAACGCATCTGCATTTTGATCTTTAATGGAGGATTGATGTAGATGTCTATGGGCCGCAGCAACTACTTACCATCAGGTGGACTGTGTGCTCGTTTATCACCCTATTCTATATAAAAAAAAAAACATACCATGTAAACAGCCCACAATATTAAAGGAGAAGAGATGCCTGTCCACTGCAAGGTAGTCAGCAAAAATCTCCTGAACTTCTCTCACTGCCTCCTGTTCATCACATTCAGCCAGAGTTTTGATATCCGCCTTTGAGATTACATTGCTGAAATCTAACTGACAAATTAAATGGATACTTTTACTTCCTTCAAATGTTGTCAGAGATCTTTAAAAATCATTCTTGTATATATGTACGCATCTAAGTACAGAAATCCACTGGTAATCATTGCACTTCCCCATAGATTGCTTTATACGGAGGATTTTGCCATAGTTGCCTTGCGTGGCAGGCAGGTTGGCAACCTCAGATCTTTATAATTTTGAGTTGTTATCAGGAAAATGCTGCTGCCCGTCTCTTGTTTCAGTTTCACATTCATGCGATGATATAGACTAGTGGATATTCTTACGTCACCACTACACGGTATATGTATATATATGTAATTGATTTCCCAGAAATGGCAACAATTTGGAATACATTTTGTGTTCACATGCAACACACAATGGGTGCGTTTGGCAGAAAAAAGCGCTAGCAAGCGCTTGTAAGCAAAATGGCGATCGTAAGCGGTAAGCGCTGTCAAATCGTAAGTAGCTATTTTCCTCCAGGACACGATGTTAGTTTTAACCGGGGAACCTAACCTAATTTAAATATATATTTGTAAAGTATTCATATTAAAAACTTACCAATCATGAATTTTTAATAACATGTATATGTTTATTCATGTCATTATATTACTTAATACTAATATTGCACAAAACAACTTATAAACTCTACTTCAAAACAAACAAATTAAATAAGCAAAATGGCGGATTGTGTCAGCGCTACTGAAGTAGCAATCGTGTCCTGGCCGAAAACTATTTCAGCGCTTATAAGCGCTTGCTAGCGCTTTTTTCTGCCAAACGCACCCATTGCTTAAGAAAATTAATAGGATCAGGTGTTACATTGTGGAAATCCATTATTTTAAAGTTGGTAAGAATTACCTAGCACACATCCGCTCAATAAACACTCAATAGCGGATGTGTGCGAGGTAATTCTTACCAACTTTAATATAATTAATTCTTTAAATTCTAACACACACTTCCGTCATTTTTTAACATAAGACAAGGAGTCCAGTCCATATAATATAGTCTAAGACAAGATTTTAAAAATAAAACAGCAAACAATTAAATGAAGAGGTAAGCTAATTTTGTTCTAACTTACAAATAAAATAGACGCCATATTTTGGGCACCTTAACTCTCGAGACAGCAGAGCAATGTTTTCTGAGGTAGGTCGCAAATATACAATGCATTTCATGTGCTTCATGTTGTCAAATTTGCTTAGATTGTCAATTCGTTCAAACAGATATACCTCCTTCTGAAGTATTTCAGATTGACTGTACACCATACTAACAATACTTGTCTGAAAATGAATAAATTCTATAAAATATACCACCTACTTTAATTGCATTGTTAGCAGAAATATATTTTGTGGCTAATAGGCTACTCTGTTTTTCAGCAGTATACAAATCAGAAATTTTATCACATTAATACAATATTAATATTACATCTGCTTATATGGGTAGGACAATATAGCTGGTATTTTTAAGTGCACAAATGTTTATTTTTGTGACTAGAAACTTTCTATGTCATATAAGGGATGAATACATCCTTTAAGTTCTTTCGCACCTATGTCATAAAGAACCAGTTTTTTATAATTAATAGAATCAGGCGTTACTTTGCAGAAATCCATTATATTAAAGTTGTTAATGTAATTTTATACTATCACAGTCACCTCGTTTTTTTGGCTCTAGAAAATCGAAAAATCATCCTATTTCAATGATTTTTATTAAATCTTCATCTTTAAAAAAATATAGAAAATATTTCATATAGTTTTATGACTTTAAATGTGATCATAAACGTACTTCTTCAAATATAATCATTCATAACTTTTTTAAATAGTCAGATGAAGTTGTTATATTTTTTTCATAATCTACACAAAAAAACGAACATTAAAAAAAAAGAAACTTTAAGTGAGATTAAAAATTAATGAAATGTTTATTCATTAATTTTTTATCTCACTTAAAGTTTTTACATGGTTTTCTGACTTTAAATGTTATTATAAACGCTCTAGAAAATCGAAATAATTATAAAAGTTAATATTTTGATGTTTTATTGAGTGTAAGATCGAACAAAGCGAGCTCGATCTCACACTCAATAAAACCAAAATAAAAAATTAATAAACAAACATTTTTTAATTTTTCTCCGAGTTAGGATGCTCTAAGTCCCGAGCTCGCATAGCTTGATCTTACATTCAATAAAAACCAAAATAAAAAATTAATAAACAAATATTTTTTAATTTTTTTCCGAGTCGGAATGCTCTAAGTCCTGATCTTGCATCGCTCAATCGTGAGTTGAGTGTAACTCAACAAAAACCAAAATAAGAAATTAATGTAAAAGCATTTTTAAATGTTTTTTTAAGTGTTCGTTTTCTTGTGTAGTTTATGAAAAAAATATTACATCTTCATATAATTATTTAAAAAAAAAGTTATCAACTATTATATGTGAATGAGTTCATTTTTATGAACATTTAAAGCCTTGAAACCAATATAAGTCTTAATTTTTTTATTCTTGTAATTATTTTCGTAAATCCGCCGTAATAATGAAGATTTTAAAAAAATCATCGAAATCGGATGATTTTTCGATTTTCTAGAGCCAAAAACCAGGTGACTGCAATAGTATAAATTTACCATTGTTAAGAATTAATTCTCACACATAACCGCCGCTCAATAAAATAAAATGATGTCTTATCTAGTTTGAATACCACCTCCCGCCCTCCCTAAAATGCATAATATACTAATCCCGTCACCACTACTCCGAACACGACCACATTATATGACACACCATCGACGATAATATGACACCTGTTTAGCCTCTACATGAGGCATCCTCAGGTGATGTAGACTCAGCAGTAGTTGAGTTAGTGGCGAGCAAAAGTTCAAAACAACTTTAATATCGAGTTTTTTATAACTATCAGTCAGTAGTAGTTTTCGGTGCCGGAGGATCATATCCCGACCCTGTTGAAAGCCGGGCGCCGTCTCGCATGTCTATGTGGGGCGGTATACGTTAAATTCCAGGGTCGTGGAGGAAAATTCGTTGATTCCCCACCTAGCAAAGAGGCAGAAAAGAACCCGGAAGTCATGGTTGCCGGTACATCGAAATCACTGGATGTCAAGTCCAGTGAAAAAACTGCCTGCACAACCGAGCCGAAGCCCCCAGTGGAAACTGAGCTCAGCGGCAGCTCACTGAGCGACGAAGAGGACTGCATTTTGCCGTCCAATTCCGACTCGGTGGCTGACGATGAAACCCGAGATCGCGGCAGGCTTATTTTTAGGCGGAGACGGGGATGACGCGATCGATGATGGCGTGCCCTTCGTCCAAAACTAGCCTAGTGCAGGCCAACCTCGACCACATTGAGACAGCGTCGGCTCAATTACTCAAGTGGTTGGAGGCACAAAGGACGGTCATAGCCCTAATCCAAGAGCCATGGGTTGGGGCCGGTAAAATTAAAGGCCTAAACAACCTAAGAGGTAAGTTATTCTGCAACTCTGAGCACGACAAAGATATTACTACTAAAGATATCTGTGCAAAACCACTAACAGATTTCTGTTCCAGAGACATGTATGCCGTAGCATTACAAAACACACAGGAGGAAAGGTTAGTCGTCGCCTCGGTCTACATGCCTGAGGAAGACACCCCTCCCCCCTCACGACCTCGTCAGGCTGGTGAATTTCTGTGAGAGGGCCGGACTAGAGGTTGTGATCGGGACAGACTCCAACGCGCATCATCCGCTTTGGGGAATGGAGAAACCTAATAAGCGAGGTAAGGTTTTAGTTGAATATTTATTTAGCACTAACCTAACCATATTAAACACTGGTTCTGAACCAACCTTCATAAATAAACGGTGTCGCACAATAATCGACCTCACACTTGCAACAGAAGGAGCAGCTAAGCTAATAACGGGATGGCATGTGTCGAAAGAGGCCTCATGCTCAGACCACAGATGGATCTGCTGCGTACTACAGGTCGATATCCCCGCTATACCACCATGGAGAAATCCCCGCAAGACGGAAAAAACAAAATACCTCAATAGGCTGACGTCTTCGCTCGCGGGTGTCGGGGGAACTAATACCATATCAGATCAATCGCTCCTAGAAGAACAGGTAACAGCTGTCACTAAAGCCATGATCGATAGCTGCCATGAATCATGTCCAGTAATTACTGCACCAAAACATGCTGAGCAAAAGCAACAATAGTGGGGTAAAGAACTAGACAGGAAACGTAAGAAGGTAAGAAAAGCCCTAAATAGGGCAATGAATACCTCAAAGGATGAAGACTGGCTTCTATATAAGAAAGCTAAGTCTGAATACAAACAATGTATCAGGTATCGACGCTCAACAGGGTGGCGCAAATTCAGTGGTAGCATAGAAACCTGTGAACAAGCAAATCGGATAAGGAAAATCCTAGCTAAACAGAACACGCCGGGATCTATCTCTTTAAAGAAACCTGACGGAAGCTACTCAACATCGCTGGATGAAATACAACGCATCCTAATTGATACTCACTTCCCAGGTTGCTGTGTAGTTGAAAGGGTGAACCGGCATGAAGATTGATTGGGCCATTCATAGTTTCCAACCCTATAAGACAGCAGGACCTGACGGCTTATTTTCTGCACTTCTTCCGTGGGGGGGTAAAGTCCTAATAGTCAGACTTGTTGCCATAATGAGAGATGTAGCGGCGCTGTCGTCGCGCCACAAGCGAAATACACCGAAGCTTAAATCACGCTATCAACATTCCGAATCATAGACAGTATATATAGAACTTCTCCGAACTATCACACGGAGCGTTGGCTGCTCCCCGGGCAGAACACCTTGCCCGGCGGGAGATCTCCCCTTTTCCTACTTCGGCCACAGTGGTGACCCCGACGTGATCAGAACACGCAACCAAAAACAACCTTCGGAAACTTCAAGCTTCATCATCGTCATAGAATACCCCGCCCATTCGCTCCCGAGCAGATATCATCTGCAGTCTTCATATCCTGCAAGCCACCTAGCTTCACAAGGTTCCTCGCAGCACTGGAATAATAATGCTGCCTGTTCCTTCAAGCTACTCTCTGCGCTATACAGTGTTCGGCACGCCTCTGAGCCTTACTGCTCGCCTCTGCTTCACGGCACTCTCGCAGATTACTTGCCTTCTTCTCGACTCACCGCAGACTACAAGGCAATCTCCTGGCACTTGCACATTCGTCGGCAACGAGGCTGCACTATCGACCTCCGGTCTGAGCAGGGGGGTGATGTAGCGGCGCTGTCGTCGCGCCACAAGCGAAATACACCGAAGCTTAAATCACGCTATCAACATTCCGAATCATAGACAGTATATATAGAACTTCTCCGAACTATCACACGGAGCGTTGGCTGCTCCCCGGGCAGAACACCTTGCCCGGCGGGAGATCTCCCCTTTTCCAACTTCGGCCACAAGAGCATGTCTGGCTCTTAAATATGTTCCTAGGGGATGGAGGGAAGTGAAAGCCATGTTCATACCCAAGCCAGGTAAGAACGACTATACAGACCCTAAATCCTACAGACCTATTAGCCTCACATCCTTTCTCCTAAAGATGATGGAGGGGATGTGTGAACGGGAGTTGAGAGGGTCGGCGCTAATTAACTTACCACTACACGAAAAACAACATGCCTATAGCTTAGGTAAATCAACAGAATCGGCACTTCACCAGGTAATAACAAAGATTGAAGAGGCTATTAAAAAAAAGGCAATATGTCTAGGCTCCTTCATAGACATAGAAGATGCTTTTGACAGAACAAATTTCTCCAGCATAAAAGCCCTGTTGAACTGGCACTGATTGACTGGATAGTTTGCATGCTCAGTACACGAACAATAAAGATTGCTGGTGAATCTCAGACAATTCAGATCATGAAAGGATGCCCGCAGGGTGGGGTTCTTTCACCTCTTCTGTGGAATATGGTCATTAATGAACTCATCAGCAAATTAAACGCTAATCATTTCTACACAGTCGGTTATGCAGATGATTTGACAATACTGGTCTCTGGTAAGACAGCAAGCATTGTGTGTGACCTGACCCAAGCGGCTCTCCGTATTGTGGAGAGATGGTGCAGGGAATATAACCTATCCGTTAATCCATCAAAACGGTTATAGTAATGTTCACACAAAAATGAATGCTGAATAACTATCATCTTCCAAGTCTTTTCAGCACAAAACTCCAACTTTCTTCCGAGGTAAAATACCTAGGTCTTACCTTGGACAGTAAACCTGGAACAAACACATAGAAAACAAAATCAGCAAAGCTAGTTTAACTTTCTGGCAGTGCAGAAACATGATTGGCAAACGATGGGGTTTAACGTCAAAAATTATACTATGGCTGTGCAAAACTGTAATTCGGCCCATGATCACATACGACTCTCTGGTATGGTGGACCAAAACCAATGAAGCCAACACTATACAAAAGCTTCAGCGTTACCAGAGATTAGCTTGTATGGCTACCACGGGCTGCATAAGGACAACACCAACAGCAGCTTTGGAGGCTACGCTGGAGCTAACACCGCTTCATCTACATATACAACAAGAAGCAACTTTAGCTACCATTAGACTCAAGACCCTAAATCTTTTAAGTAAGAGTAGAGTCCCCCATACAGATATAATCAATAGAATTTATTCAAAAATTCCTATCTTACAAGCCAAGTATGATAGGATCCCAAAACAATTTGTATTCGATAAGAAGTACAGGATACAATTCAAGGAAACTGACCATCTGGAAGGATTGGGTCCAAGAGAGCTCAAAGTTTTCATGGATGGCTCTAAGACAAATGAAGGTGTGGGGTCTGGGGCTTACTCTGAAGACCTTAATATCCACATATGCACACCGCTGGGTACCCACAACACAGTCTTCCAGGCTGAATGCATGGGTATTATCCAAGCGGCCATAGCAATAGATGCTAGGAAGGTGAAAGACTTCTCTATCAGAATACTGACCGACAGTATGGCGGTACTACAAGCTCTGAGTTGCAATGTGACGAACTCGGGACTGATACACGAGTGCCATCAACGATTGAATGAGGTATGTAAGTACAACAATGTGACTCTCAATGGATCAAGGGACACAGTGGATCTAGAGGCAACGATGCAGCAGATGAACTGGCCAGAAGGGGATCGGCCCTAGCAACTATAGGGCCGGAACCAATAATACCAATCCCCTTTGGCTATGTTCGTTCACTAGTACATAGATACTTCAATAATTTACACGCTCAGCTTTGGAAAAATATAGTAAACTGTAGACAAGCTAGGGAGGCCCTACCTGAAATAAACAGTTGTCTAACCAAGGTTCTAATGAGACTGAACAAGCCACAGATCAGGATAGTAACAAGTGCTATCACAGGACATGGCTCTTTTAACAAACATTTGTTCACCATAGGTGTTACTGACAGCCCCCTGTGCAGGGCATACATGGGAGAGGAAGAAACCGCGGTTCATGTGTAGCTGAAATGTCCAGAAGTCGCTTCATACAGGGCTAAACATCTCGGCACGCCAGGATCACTCCCCGAGTTGCTTGCAACATCAAGGGACTGCTGAGCTTCTTCGGGGAGATATCATGGCTCGAATAAGCATATTATTCCTGCCCACATGCAAAATACGCGGTTAGACGTGGAGTTGCGGAAAACAGCCCATCGTAAACTAAACTAAACTATCAGTCAATAGAGGTGTAGGAAAGTATCAATCTTTATAAGTTTACACTAACATTAACATAAGTTAATGTAAGATTAAACAGCAGTTGTTAAGAACACTACTATAAAAGTACATACTAAAATGTCAGATTATGTAAATCTATTAAATGAAACTTCATTTTACAGATTTTATCACTGTACATATTTTATTTTATTTTTTAAACTTAAGGTGGCCCTGGTTCACTAATTAACATTGGGATGTCGAACACCTATTTGCCTGTGATCATGTATGCTACAAAGTACTTGCAACATCAGGAGTGTGAGTGAGTGATTCCACTATCCAGAACCTTTAGAGTACAAAATTTTTATCAAAGCAATTGTTTTCTCTTTTACATCAAATGAGAATTGTATTCTAAGGACTTTTGTTATTTCCTGTAGTTATAATATATACTGTGCAGTTAACAATTTTAGAAAAATAAGTTATAACAATTACATTTGAATAGATCTAGAAACATTTAAAATTTAATAGAGCCATAAAGGCGAAGTCGATTTTCAGATGATAAGATCTATTGCATTTATTAATCCAAGTTTTGTTTAATTAGAATTCATTATAAAATGAAAAATACTTACAGTTTCCTTATCCATGAGAATAACTTTCATTCCAGGACCACTCTCTTCTGTCATTTTAGTAATATACATTTTTACGGCTTGAATGACGTTCATTGTTATGATAAGTTTTACTAATATATAATAATATACTTAATCTTGGTAAGGCGAAACAAGAGCTTTCCTTTCTTTTTCTTTGCCAAAATAGTAAATTGTATAATTTTGCCTTTATTTTTGTTTTTTTTTCAGCACAGATTAGTCAGATTACACAAGACTACATATTTATTTATCTATGATTCCATATATGAAAAAGTACTCTGTGTAGCGGTAAGAAGTAGAAGTGGGTGTTGAATCAGTAAACTGTTTTTTTCAACGGCTTTTCATTCGTCAACGTGTTAACTGTTATTTATTAATGAAAAAATAGGTTGAAAATATTAGGTTTCAATTTACTTCAACGCACTCAACGCATTTTTTTAATATTATTTTATTCATTTCTGTAAATTTAGTCTCCTTCAGAAATATTCGTTACAACCGGAGGTTACAGAACACCGCTGCGTCAACACATCGGACGCAGTCTTGTGGGTGCGTGTGTGAGCGTGAGCAAGTAAAGAAAGTTAATTTGTTATTTGTTAAGATTTTGTATTTAGTATGTGTAAACAACCTTCAATCCGTGAGCTTCGTTCAGGGCTAAAATTCGTTGCGATTCTTTTGTTTGCATTACGCAGTCGAGGACGAATATTTTTAAGTATAGTTTATTTTTTAAGTATTACTGGTTGGGATTTTACGTGAATATTGTTTTGTGACAAAGCTTGGACATTATGTCAGTGGCACGTAGAAACAAAAGTTTACTCTAACAAAGACAAATAGACAGTAAAAAACGAATTGTGACTCACATGAAAAAAGCTCGCAGAGAAAGACTAAGACGCTAGCAGACAAAGACTTGCCGACGATCACTTCAGAAGATTGCACCACCTACCAACAGTAATGTCAGGTGTTAGAACCATTCGAAGAGTTGCCATAAATATTTGACGGCGTGTTATCTTATAATAACGACACGTTACCTGATAGAATCTTGTAATAAAAGATGAGAGAAAGAAAATCGAACATCAAATGTCCACGATACAGTTTCATTTTTTGAAATCAGGTTTATCAATCAGATTCAAAGGGATAGAGCAAGACCCTTTATTTAAGATGCAGGGATTTGCAGACCACGCTGAAGCTGTCAAAACAAAATATAGAGTACGAACGCTAGTCGCTACCGACATATCTAAAATTGATGCTGCAACACTGGCCCAAACGTCAAATCAAAATGAATTGACAAGCTAATTCAGTCCACGGGATATTTTTATCAAATAATATGGGCACCTCCCACCACAGGCACTCCATTATCAAAAGCCATAAAAGAAGTGGACATCTATTTGGCCAACGACATATAACCAAGAACAAATACTACTGGTGACTGGAAGAATTCTTCGGAATGATGTAGAACTCACAATTTTTTATCCAAACTTAGCCAAAATTTACATTGAAAAATGTACTACGACTAGCAACATCAGTAAAATGCTAAAGAACGTTCTCCAAATCGAAGCTAATTGTAAATCAAAGAAGAACAAGACTAACTACCAGCTAAATATAGAAAGTGCTATTTTGAAATGTTAACTAGACGGAGGCAGTTTTGTAAGTTATGAGATTTGATAAGTAATTGTAAATAGAACAAAGGGGAAAAAACAAATTAATGATAATCAACGTATATACAGCGAGTCCTAAGCCCGGAAAAAGTACTAAGATATGGTCATTCCAGTTCAATAAATATAAAAGTAATCTTTAGATACGAATTTATTCTTATCAAATCAATAATCTTTAACTTAATCTGCAACAAAATTGTTATTGATCGAAAACGTTGAAATATTAAATTGACGATTAACGCCAATAGTTGAAGTTTCAAAACCAGTTATTTATTTAGCAGCTTTTTTAACCTGTTGACCATTAATAATTAACAGTAAAATTACAAACCCCTTTATTAATATTATTTTAAAAAAAAAAAATTGGTCCCCCACAAAAACCAAAAAAAAAAACATTATATCTAAAAAACCGTCAATGACCCATGCTTGGTAAGGAGTATAGACTCTGTACAAAAAAGTGTCCGTATGAAAGCGCTAAATAGGTGGCGCCACTACAGCTACAGTCTAAATTTTAAAGTACTTTTTATAATTTTTTTATTGCATAATATATTTGCACTATAATTATTTTTACAATAATTATTTTACTGCTTCCAAAATTTTTATTTTCAAAATCACTCAACGTATTTTACGGCGATTTATTATACCCTGTAGCTGCTCGAGCGCTGTTGTGGAGAGTTTTTGAACTGTTATTTACTGCTTACAGAAAGACACATTTTTAACTATTCTCCTATGGAAGATTGTCCTCCTTATCTCTGTACTTCATGACGGCGGCATATTCTACTATAGAAATCATAGTTATACAAATATCTATAATATCGACGGACGCATGTCAAAAACCCTTTTGTTTCTTTTTAACAAAGCAGTAGCTTCATTAGAAAAGGGATACAAATATAGTTTGTCGATTGTTTATTTTTAGAACATTTTCGTGTGACGTCATTAGCTCATCCATGCCATGCGTGATTTTTGTGGTAGATCTGCTGTCAAACTATTGCATGCTAGAAGTTTTTTCTAAAAGTTTTTGTTGTGTAGTGCAGTGCCTTCATCTTATCTTATAGTAGGTGTTTTTCTTCTATGTATATTTTATTATGTTACTAGATGACCCTAACCACATAAAATTGATTTGATTGTAACTCTTAATTGAGAGGCATTTCTGAGTTTTTGCAAAACTAACGTACGGCAATTGATTTTAAATTAAAATATTTTTGTTAAGCATAATTTCATCACGTCATGTGTTATAAATACTTTTATATTTTGACATTAATTCAATGAATGAAGTACATAGTTAGATTGTATGCGTAGTATCCTCTTAGTAGTCTGTGATAGTTAGATTAACGGGCTACACACGAGACGATATCGGTAGCGATCTAGGGTGGAAAGAAATCGGGGCTTTTATCGGGGCAGACCCTACACACGGGCCTGCCTAGCAGTACGCGTTCGGACTTGGAGCGGAACACATATGCGGTAGAGTTCTTCAAAATAGCTTCAACTCTCTTAAAACACCAATGTATTGGTTTGGCATTAGCCCTCTCGGTAAATTTATTCGAAAATAGAAAAAGAGGAGTTGCTGGGTGAAAAAATGGCTCCAAAAGAGACAAAAATTAAGCCACATAAACGTACTAAATGATCTGTATTCCAAAGACATGATTAATTTTCTCCGGATGGATGAAGACAGTTTTTATAACCTTCTAGAAATGATTTCTCCACTTATATAAAAACATCAATTTCTCCTATGTACCTATGCTATTTAGTTATTTCTTCTCTTTGTTCATTTCTGCTTTGGTCAAAATCTGGTTATGTATTACACACAACAAACAAGGAAATAAAATACTTTTGTATAATAATATGTATACTTTTTTTAATGTAATCTTTATTTATGGAGTAAAACTATCAGAAAATAAAATAGCTTATATCTTTTTTTTAACCATAAAGAAACCTTTAATTTCGGACATACTCCCTTTTATATAACTTGTTTGTTGATGTGGAGATGGTGAAGTAGTAGAAGTTAGTTGTTTATAAGAGGATGAAGGCACGTAAGAGATCGAATTTTGGTCTTGTGGAGTTGTAAGAGATATGAGTGCGGTCTTGTGTTGATAGTGTTGGAATAGGAGTTAGTTGTTGAGGAGAGGCTTTATCTTCTCCTTACTTACATCATACACTCTACTTTACGAACGGCAATAAAAAATTGGTTTAGTAGGCATTCTTGACCATGTCACTTCTAGCTTGCTACATATTTATTTATCTATGGTCACTTCGCAGGGTCACAGGCTAGGGTGGATATGATTTGAATTTCGATAAAATTTCATTTAATTTATTTATTTTATTCATTTTTTTTTTTGGTTTTTTTGTAAAATATCAGTGCCATAGGCTTCTGCTCCGTTTATATGATTAAAATGTAAAAATTTTGTTACATAAAAAAGGTCATTCAGTATCACTGTTTTGTTAACTTCCAAAAGAAATCGGGCCGATGCGCCTACACACACGCAGTAAGGAGGGGGCGGTGCCCCGATCTAGGAAGCATCGGCTGATCTAGGAAGCATTTTTGCTCCTGCCAGCCGATTAAGGAGGCGATATCGGCTACGACTTAGGATGGCTCTACATACGACACGATTTAGAGGCAATCTAGGAGGCATCCCCACTACTCCACCCTAGATCGCCACCGATATCGTGTCGTATGTAGCCCGCTATTGTGTCAATAATCATGGTAGGGATGTATTTTTTAATTATTATTTTATGTAAGATGCATAATTTAGTAATTTATTTTGCCAATAAAAAGACTGCTGACAAGTTTTTTAATTATTAAAAATCCCAGTATATGTATGATTGTCGCTACTAGTTGTGAAGAAAACACATAAACTATTTTCAGGAGTGGCCTTCAGTATGCCTCTATTAGAGTCGTAACCTTATCAATTGCTGTATTAGAATATATTGCGGGATTTGTGGCAAAAAAGAAGGTTCAGATACCATGCAAGAAAAAGCAGTGACAAACTATCTTATAGAAATTATATTAAAAAAATTATTGTTCAGAAATGAATAAATAATAATAATGATAATATTAGTTTAACTGGGATCACTCATTTGGTTCCTAAAGACCAGGGTACCACAGACCCGAGCAAATACCGCCCCATCACGTGTCTAACGACCATATACAAGACTCAAATCAGCTGATGTCGCGCGCTCAAAATGGATGTCGGGGCGGCGGTCGTGGAACCAAGGAACCACTTCTCATAGACGCGGTCATTGGCAAAGTGGTGAAATGCAACCGTCGCAACTTCTCCGCCGCCTGGATAGACTACAGAAAGGCATTTGATTCGGTGCCCCATACATGGCTAAAGAACGTCATCGAGCTGTACAAGATTGACTGTACAATTCGAGACTTTCTCTAGCAGTGTATGGGGTAGTGGAGTACGATCCTCTGTTATCTAGGCGAGCGGATGA